CGGGGCGTCTGCGCGAAAAAGCTTCGATCAGTTCTCCGAGCTGCGAAAAAAGAATACCAGACGCAACAGGTCGAAGCCATAAAGTCGCCGAGCGATGTGTTCAAGCTGCTGAGAATGGCCAATCCACGATAGGCTAGCATTCCACCGCCACTTAATCACAACGGAATCCTCATCTCGGACCCATTAGAGCGAGCGACAGTACTCCGCGATGCGCTTCTTGCCCGACATCAGGCATCAGACGACCTGCCACCATGCACAGCGAAAAGCAGCAACCGAATCCCGTGGAATGACGATATCACTGATGAAGAAGTCAGGTGTTGCACAATTGGCAGTGGTAACACGGCTTTAGGAGCAGATGGAATATCAACTGATCTTCTAGCAGCTTGTTGGAATACTATAGGACCATACGTCGCTCAACTCTTCCGGGCCTGCGTGAGGATCGGCATTCATCCATCCTGCTTCAAGCTGGCTGAGGTCGTTTTAGTTCCGAAGCCTAATCGAGACCCAACAACAGTCAAGGGATGGAGGCCCATCGCTCTTCTTTCTTGCCTAGGTAAAGGACTAGAAAGACTCTTGGCTAAGCGTATGGCGCATCTCGCTGTGATCTTTGATGTAACGGGACAACAGCAATTTGGCGCGCTCCCAAAACGCTCAGCAATGGACCTTGTCTCCTGTGTGGTACACGACATTGAAGAGGCAAGCTCCCAAAAGTGGACAGCTACATTCGTCACCCTGGACGTTCAAGGTGCCTTCGACGCAGCTCTCCATAACCGTCTGGTGAGAAGGATGCAGGAGCAAGGTTGGCCAGACTCGATACTCAAGTGGACGACCTCGTTCCTAGCACAACGAATGGTCCAAGTGCGTTACTCTGGAGGAGTCACCGCTCAGCGACAGCTAAGCTGTGGAGTCCCCCAGGGCTCACAGATATCCCCACTCTTATTTCTTCTTTACATGGCAGAGCCTATGCGAAGCGGTAATCCAGGTATGAGGTTCAGCTAAGCCGACGATTTCGGAATAATTGGATTTGGCCGCACGATTACGGAATCTGCTGCTGCAGCTCAGAGTGAAGTCGATCATCTCCTAGAATGGGCGGGAAAAAATGCGGTTGCTTTCGACACAAGTAAGTCTGAAGTAATTCAATTTCCCGCACGGTGCCGCGAGCCTGCAAAAGGAATCTATATCAATGGAACCCTTATCGAGCCGTCTGAATATGTTCGCTGGTTGGGTGTCTACCTAGATCCCCGTCTGACCTTTAAATACCACGTAACAACATGGTGCGGTAAAGCCTTGAAAGTTGCACAGAACTTGCGCCGCTTCAACACTGCTCTCAGAGGAGCCGTCCCAGGAGCGCTTATCAGAGCAGTCGACATGTGTGTTGTTCCTATTGCGACATTTGGTGCAGAGATCTGGTGGCCAGGTCTGAAACGCCCTACGAGAAAAAGCATGACAACCCCACCAACGGCACATCTATGTAGCATGATTGACAAAGCTGTCTTGATGGGTCTACGAGCTGCACTCCCGGTAATGAGGACGATAGCGAACGTTGTACTGCACAGAGAAGGAGGAATCCCACCAGGGAAAATCATACTGGAGGGTAATCGACTTCGACTGTCAGTTAGGCTCAAAACTCTGGATGACCGCCATCCGCTGAGGATTCGTGCGGCTGTGTGCCCAAATATCGGCACGCGGAAATACAAGAAGAGAAATCGAGGGACTTCGGTTCCTGAAGTAATAATGTCACGAGTCCAGCGGGCGTACCGACAATTACCAAAAGCAGAGCACGCGGAACCACTGCCGCCTACATCCTACTTACCGAAAGCAGGATCTAAGGAAGAACAAATTGAGATCTGTAGGCAATGGATCAACCAGGTGCCGGAGTCGGAAATTTGTGCCTACTCGGATGGCTCATCGGAGGGGAATGGACGCTCTGCTTGGGGTTTTGTTCTAAAGAGAGACGGGCAGACTTTGCTTACGGGAAGTGGCATCAGGCATGGGGGTGAGGCTTTGGATGCGGAAATCACTGGGGCAAGGAAGGCTCTTGAAGCAGCATTGGGACTCCAGAGCGCGAGACAACGATTCTACCTACTAATGGATAGTCAACATGCGATCAACGCACTTGAGACAGGCAAGTCCACGACAAGCCACAACGAAGTACGAAAATTTCGTGAGCTATCCAAATCAGCTTGCGTGATAATTAAATGGGTACCTGGACATTCAAGAATTCAGGTTAACCTAGAAGCTGACTCGGCCGCCCGGTCTGGCTTACGGATGTTGCCTAGATTTGAAGTACGGCCAGAATCCATCACTCTGGCATTTCTGCATGGCCAACTGAATTGTTTGCAGCAAGTATTGCTCGACAAATGGTGGAACGAAGCTTGTCCGCCCCGATAAGGTAAGCTCGACCTGCTCATGCGACGACGAAAACCACCTGAGCTGGGAATTTCGAGGTTCCTACTCCGAAATCTGATTGCAGCTTATACAGGCCATGGCTATTTCGCGGCGTATCATCGCCGTTTCAACAATATGGACGCTACCATGGAATGCACCTGCGGGGAGGAGACCACTCCAACCCATTTCATTCACTGTCGACTACATTCTCACGTCACGCGTCGACTCAGAGGGAGATTGTCACATAGTGACTTCACCCAAAAGCTTCTCGGGCCAAAGTGTCCCGAAAATTTCAAAAACTTTGTTAAGGAAACCTGCTGTTTTGGGTTGCCATCTACAAATTCGTCCTCTGATCTCATCGAGGAGCATATAAATTAGTCATACAGATGATATGACAGGAAGGAATACAAGGCGAGAAGATTTGTTTTCTGACCAGAAATTGGGAAATCTGCAGGGCCAGATAGTTTTGTGGGTATGAGTTTGGTTTCAAAGGTTGAATTTATGTACGGTCGCGAATTTTTAACTAGCTACTTATTGTTTAGTGGTTCATGCGGTGGGATCAAGTTGGGCTTATCAGAGATAGGATCTTGGCTGTGAAAACCGGTCCTTGACTCTTCGGGGATAACGGGTTAGACCTAGGACCTAAATGAATAAACAAACAAACGAACAACCTTAAGGTCTCGTGTTGGCCAGCTCAGTCTACATAAACTACCCGACGTGCCGATACCTTTCAATAAGCCCGACATGTTATAAATGGGCCAAGGCCTACCTGCCATGCACCCCGAACTATCGAAAGAAGTCAAAAGTACTCTCGAGCTGAGACTTTTGTATTCTAATACAATAGAGAAGATAGTTATATAAATGAAAAGGAAAGTTATCCATCACCTAGACCAGAAGTCTTCTAAATTTAGCTCTAGCAAATACAGGCCAAGTGCATATAATTTGGGGTACTAGTTAGTCTTGTTGCATGCTTCAAAAAAGCTCGTTTCATGGAGCCATTTACTAAAAGCTATGGCTCCTTCAGGTGAGCCTAGGACCCAGCAAATTCCCGTCGTTGGGTGTTTATTTCCGCTGCAAAGGCGGGAACGACTCCGATTGAGTCTACAAAAGAAGTGCTCGGGAGACTTTTCTAGCCCGCAAGCGCAGATTAGAAGAGCGTCCGAGTGCTGAAAGCGGCGGTGGTAGTCAGTAAAGTCTCCATGGCCTGAGCGAGCTTTTTTTTTTTTTTGCATCAGATTTTAATTGCGTATGCAGCTATCTAGCTATGACACAATATCAAAGAAAAGTATAGAATAGATGACTCAACGTAAAGGAAGAGCACTCATGCCTCGGATTTCATTTGCAAGTACCACTGCGAAGTTATGGCGGCTTTTTCTTCACCCCAAGTCAACCCTCATCCGTGAATACCCACCCAGGGAAACATCTCAAAAACCCTGAGCTATCCAGACATGCCTCCATCATCTTTCAACTTTTCTCTGCGCGAAATTTAATCTGAGATGTCTCCTTCCCAAGTGGAGTAGGTGCCCAGGCTACTCAAACTATACCGGAGAACACCACAAAGAGGTGGACAAAGGCATCGTCCATCGTCGGCTTGTTTTTATAGTGTCAGCTGCACTCTCGCAAGCGAAGCCTTGGCGCGCACAAAGCCCAATTCGTAAAACTCCTTGCCCGAATTCAAAATCTCACGCCCTTAAAGGATATGTCCCTTCTTCGCATGATCTTGCAACTTGTCCTGATTCCTCTTACGTCCATTCCAAAGAACTGTCTCCCAGATTTGTGCGCCACGCTTTGCTTCCTCCGTCGGGTATAAATATCGGAGTGGGCGTGTATTTGGTGCCCAGCTGAGGCCAGAGAAGTTCGAAGAGTGGTGTGGTCATTGGAATGAGGATGTACTTGGCCGTACTTGTAGACTCGATGAGACGAAGATAGGGGTCAAACTCGTTGGGAGCGAAATAACGAAGTGGATGAGTAATTTGGATTTTTGCCTCGTGGGCCAACTTCTTTGATATTGCGAAATTTGACTGAACTTGGCTCTGGGAGAATATTTCACTCACAGGTTCGTAGAGGACACCGCGTACAGGTGTTCAGTCTTGCCCTCCGCCTGAGCGAGCTGCAAGAAGGCGACCAATAGCGTAGCGGTTAAGACTCTTGAGTTCGGGGGAGTTCCCAATATTGGCGTTAATTCCCAGTTTTTTGTATCGTTCAGGGAGGGGTTACCTTGTAGGTATTGGAGTTGGTAATGTGACTAGGCAGTAGTCACATGACTTAGTGCGGTACGCCGTGTCGCTCGTATGGCAGACACGCCCGTAAGTGAATTGAAGGAAAGAATCGCCATATCATCCAGAGACCCATTACGTACGCGTACACTTTTATGTTACCAACCGACACCTCCAAATTGATCGGCCCGAGAGTCATAGCAGGCTCGAAGTAATCCCTGTACTATCATTGGTTTTTGGAAGCTGATATCAGCAGGTATCTGCGTTGATCGTAGGCAACCTCAGTGGTACATGCCAACAGACGCTTAGATTTGCCCTACTAGTTATGGCCCTCACCTCAGTAATATGTTTTAACACGCTGATTTCCTTCAATAATTAGAAGCTAACAACATGTAACAGTGGAAAACATTTGACTTTTTCGATGTGACCCAAGCTCATCCTGGAGATGAAGAAACAAGATCCATATTTGAAAATAATGAAATAACTTGCGTTTCGTCAGGCATAAAGAACCTATTCCTTGGTACCCGAGATGGCTCAGTTCACATTTTATCGCCAGAATTTAAAACTGTCAGGATATTTAAGGCGCATACTTCTGGAACTGTTACTCATATCATGCAAGTAGAAAAAAAAAAAAAACTTCTAATAACTGCCTCTGTTTGTGTATCTCCAAGTTATCGAAGACCATAAATTAACCTCAGTATAGGAAGATATCCCGAACGAACCCATATTGAAGGTATGGGCTTTGTATAAACCCGTAAAGAAAACAGATGCTCCGACCTGTCTTTCTACTCTTAGCCTTCGAAATGGACGTAAACCGTTTCCTGTAGGTCGCTTTTCTAATTCAAAGCAGAAAACCAAAAGATTGATCTCCATATAGATAACTGCCTTCGCGGTGACTCCTGACTTGTCACAAGTCGCTATTGGGTTCGGAAATGGCTCAGTAACAGTAGTTCGCGGAGATCTTATTCATGATAGAGGTGCGAAACAACGAACAGTGTTTGAATCTGAGGAGCCAGTGACTGGGCTACAACTACGGGAAGAGTCGCGAATATTAATCTTGTATATCGCGACAACTTCTCGGATTTTGAAGCTTCCAATTTCGGGTCGCGTGCAAAATCAAATATCACGCGTGGTGGAAGACTCAGGATGTGCGGTTGGATGTATGACCCTTAACGAGAGCAATAACGATATAATTGTTGTCAGAGAAGACGCGATATATTACTATGGGATTCAAGGCCGTGGCCCATGCTATGCATTTGATGGCCCCAAAAGTCATGTAGCTATCTTTAAAGACTACGTCGCAATAATATCTCCACCATCAACTTTATCAAAGTCACTTGCAAGGAATAACAACTTACAAAGATTTGGAGGACCACATACAAACAATATTTTTAATACTTCTTCTCTTACTCTTTTAGATACAGGGTTGAAATTTATTGCACATTCGGAATCTCTTGTATCACAAGTCAAATTTTTATTCATAATTTGGGGTAAACTGTTCACATTAACACAAGAGGGCAAGGTCAGTCAAGCGTATCCTTTGGTTATTCCAGGCTTTTTGATGGTCAAAACTAGATATACCAGTATAACGAGAAACCTCTCCAACAGAGATTAGAATATCTTTATCAGAGAAATCTCTTTGTTCCTGCAATCAACTTGGCCCAGAAGTCAGGAATAGATGAAACTCAACTAAATGGAATCTTCCGTAGATACGGGGATTTCTTGTATCAAAAGGCAGACTATGATGGTGCCATGCAGCAGTATTTAAAGGCTATTGATAACACGGAACCATCCCAGATTATCCGCAAGGCAATTTTCATCCTTTACACGCGTTATTCAAACTAACTAGTGACACTAGTATCTCGATTCTCAAAGAATACTAAATTTAATATTATTTCTTGAAGAATTACATGAGCATCATAAAGCCAATTCTGATCATACAACGCTTCTGTTAAATTGTTATGCAAAGCTTAAAGATGTCGAAAAACTTGAAAATTTCATCAAATCTCCTGGCGCACTCAAATTTGATTTAGAAACTGCAGTGCTAATGTGTCGCCAAGGTGGATACTATGATCAAGCCGCTTATCTTGCTGAGAAACACGGTGAGCATGAAATAGTCGTCGACATTTTGATTGAGAATTCGAAAATGTATCGAGCAGCAGTAAACTACATATCACGGTTAGAACCTGAAGCTGTGAGCACCTCAATATATTCACAAATATAGGCATTGACTTATGTAGGCGTACACAAGTCTTATGAAATATGCTAGGGTATTGCTAGAAAATTGTCCCAAAGATACTACTCAACTCTTTATCAATTATTTTACAGGGCGTTTTCGTCCGTCAGAGACCTTGAACATAGAATCAACCCTGGAAGAACCTGGTGATACAAGTGGAGCTTTCAACACAGTCCAAAACTTAAAGGATCTCCTCCCACTGCCATATATGCTTCCAAATATAGCATCAACTCCAGCTCAAAGCAACGAGGTAGCATCCAATGAAACGTTTATTCAGAAATTAGATCCTAAAGTGGAGCTAGTATATGATATTCCCCGGCCTAGACTAGCATTTTCCTCTTTTGTAGACCACCCAAATGAGTTCATTCAATTTCTCGAAGCTTGTCTAGAAAGTCAAGATTTAAACCAGCCAGACAAAGTTGACCTCTACACTACACTATTTGAAATGTACCTTCACAAATCCCGAGAGAAAGAACCTGGCCATGAAGAATGGGAGCGCAAGGCTAAAAATTTGATCGAAGAAAAGGAAATTTTAATAGATATTTCAAATGTTCTACTGCTCTCGCATCTATCGGACTTTCGAGATGGTACAATTCTTGTTCAAGAACAAGCTGGACTCAGATTTGATATTTTCCGCTCCTTTACTTCTGCTAAGGATACAAAAGGAGCTATAAAAGCACTACGAAAGTATGGCCCTCAAGAACCGCAGCTTTACCCAGCGGCACTAGCCTACTTCGCATCTGATCCTCAGATTCTCGAAGATGCTGGCGATGAATTTGATGCTGTTCTTCAAAAAATTGACGAAGATGGACTTATGGCCCCCCTACAAGTCATCCAAACTTTAAGTACCAACGCAGTAGCAACAATAGGAATGGTTAAAAGTTATTTGCAAAAAACAATAGAGCGCGAGAAAAACGAGATATTATCAAATCAACGACTTATTGACTCCTACCGAACCGAGACAGCCGAGAAGCGAAGAGAAATATCGGATCTGCTGACAAAACCGCAAACGTTCAGTAATACTCGCTGCCATGCTTGTGGCTCCCAGCTTTCACTCCCAACTGTTCACTTTTTGTGTAAACACAGTTTTCATCAGTCTTGCCTTAACCTGGAACTGGGACAAGATGGTAACTATGAAGGTAGCTGTCCTAGCTGTAAGAAAGATAACGATACGATTCGTGCTATAAGAAAAGCCCAAGATGAAAGTTCAGATCGCCATAGCATGTTTTTGGACGCATTGGAGCGGAGTGGTGATAGGTTCAACACCATAAGTGAGTTCTTTGGAAGAGGAGTTATGGATGTTGCCACGATTAATTAAGGGTCGAAGCTCAGAATATTTGATAAAATTTTTCTATCGTGTCTAACCACACACTCGATAGCCCAAAAAAGATGTAGCGTTACTCCAAAAACAAGACAATCTAAGCTTGCCTTCTTTTTTTGTAATATACTCTGGAGAAAACACGTCTAAAGATTTTGCTAGCTTTTATCATCACCCAAGTCACTCAAGGAAAGTTTAGACTGAAGTTTGACTAAAGGTCAAGCTTCCTGGCATGCAGGCAATAAGTTCATTGAATGGACCTTAGAATAAAATAAGACCAAATACTTAGAGCTTTTAGTAGAGCTGCGTATCGCTCCGGCAACATTTTAGAATTTGTGTGACCTTAACTCTCACTTTTTATACAAATATATTTCAAAATCACGGAAACTGAGTTGTAGCACCAATTCAATTTTAATATCTTTGATGAATTTGTAAGTTTCTTTTTGAGGGAAATAATTTGATACTTTTCTGCACATGTGTGTAGCACTAAAATATATCGCATTTCAGCTACTGGCTAGTTCTAGTAAATAGATTTCCGCGTTTCTAGGCTCAAGAAAAATTCTGTATCCTTGTACAAAACCTAAGCACTTAAGCCATAAAAGTCTTTTGGTCTGAAGTGGCGTCATAGTATAGTCTCATGACATAATGCAGTGCTATACAATCTCATTAATCAGTGGCTATTTTATCATCATAGTCAAATGAAGTCCCACATTGGGTAGTGGTCTCTGGTACGAGACAACCACCATAAATTACAGTATTTTCAGAAACCTCAAATAAAACTATATTTTGCAGCATGACCTACTCTTTCACCCTAGATTTAGTAGTACCATCTTTGTAATCAAAAATCTGAACGCCCATCACATCAATCTGCTTAAGCCGATAAGCCTAGACTATGGCTGCAATTCTTCACATGTGCGTCTAAATTATGTGAAGCAACCGGCTGATATGATTTAAATGTAGAGCGACTATTTAGAGGCGATGACGGATAGCTGTTTTGTTTTAAGTTGACCTTTTCTTTCCTGAGTAATTGCAAACTATTCTGGGTCGTATCCATCAAAATAAAGAAATATTTAGCTCGTCTTCTACCCTTCTGCGTCCGATAAATAGGGGAAACCTTTAATTCCACGTATTCTTTAATCAGCATCCAAAGTTACCATGCCTTTTCAGGATCCATATCAGCAAGCCAAACTGGCTGGAGCTTCTGAGGTTCGATCTGATTCTGCACCTGAAGCTTCTCCTGATTTTTTTCACAAACTGCCCATGCGCACGATCTTACCTTTTATTAATGGAGGGATAGCAGGCATCATTGCAACGACACTTGTTCAACCAATCGACATGATTAAAGTTCGATTGCAACTGTCCGGTGAGGCCAGCAAGTCAGGATTTACTACCTCGCCTATCTCCGTTTTTCGAGACATTACCTCAACTGGCAAATTAATTGATTTATACACGGGCATTTCGGCGGGTATTTTGCGTCAAGCTGTGTATACAACTGCTCGATTAGGGCTGTTCGACACTACAGTTGGATTTCTAACTGTAAAAGCATCGGAGCAGCACAGATCCATTAACTTTAAAGAGCGCGCAAGTGCAGGACTTATGGCTGGTGGCTTTGCTGCTATGCTTGGTAATCCTGCAGACCTCGCTCTAATTAGAATGCAATCGGATAGCCTGAAGCCAATACATGAGCGTCAAAATCATCGTCATGCATTGTCTGCCTTAAAGGACATCGCAAGATCTGAGGGGTTAGTAGCTCTCTGGGCAGGTGCGACACCAACTGTGGCAAGGGCTATGGCACTAAATTTTGGCCAACTAACTTTTTTCTCTGAGGCTAAACATATTTTGAAAGATGCAGGCCTAACTTCACAATCACAAACCGTTGGAGCGCTTGCTATAGCAGGGTTTTTTGCTAGTTTCTTTAGCTTGCCATTTGATTTTGTTAAAACTAGACTACAAAAGCAAGTAAGTAATGAAGACGGGAAACTTCCCTATAAAAGCATGTCGGACTGTTTTGAAAAGGTAGCGCGGGAAGAAGGCATATTGAGTTTCTATAGAGGTTTTAGCACATACTATGGTAGAATTGCACCTCATGCGTGAGCTCCATTTCCCATATTTTGAAAAATATCCTTTTTCTCTGACTTGATGGTAGAATGGTAACTTTAGCCGTGGCAAACTGTCTTGGATTTCTGACAAAATGATGATGTACTCGAAGAATTTGGCTAGAAGTCTGCAGATCTAATGTAAGTATCGACGAGAATTCAACGTATCGCATTACTTTCCAACCCTTTTTCCAAGATAATATCCGCTGATCACAGTTTTTAATATTATTAATAGATCAAAAGCTTCAAGTACCTCATTGGACTCCAGCTATACTTTTGTTGCTAGAAGATGAAATTTTATTTCTATTTGCAGCTGATAGAATATTTTATAGTGGAAACAATTTATCAAACTTTTATCTTGCCTATGAAGATTTTTATATGTTCACCTGTCAGCTACAAGCCGTTTTTCCATATGCACCGCCAGCAATTTTTCTCATTTCGAGTGCGCGCTTATATGGAGGTGCTGTTGGAGGTTGAATAGGATCCAATGCAATACGATCCTTAGGGAGAATGTATGACGCGTCCGCATCAAATGCTGAGAGATCTCCACAGGCCAAAAAAGGAGCGATCCACCTTCCATCTTTAACAACATTAGATTGATGCTCCTCAAGGCTAGGTCGCCCTCTATCGCTTTTGTTCTTCGCTATGGGATTTTCAACAGGTAATGACCATTGGCTGGTAAGTGGATTTTGGAGCAAAGCCATCGAGAATATTGGTCTCTGTTCAGCTTGCGACTTAATAAGGTTCATCAAACTATCTCCAGCTCCGATGGGTTCTTTTAGGCTAGGTTTAAAATTTTCTGGCGGTGAAAAGTTGAGACAGACAATAAAAGCTTCGATACTGCTTGCTCTACTCGATCTTGGCTTGGCAACAATGACACGCTCAAAAAATATTTTCAGCTGTGCAAACAGCAAATCAACATTTCGGCCTCGGAAAATTTTTGCTACAAACTTTCCACCTGGTCTAAGGACGCAAAGCGCCATGTTAAGAGCAGCAAATAGAAGTTGGGATTGAATATAAATGTCTAAATCATGCAGCCCAGTGACATCGGGTGCTCCATCAGAAAGTACAAGATCGACTGGGTTTGAGGCGTGCTGAGAATTCGACGAAGAGCTATATGTAGGATCTAATGCACTTAGAAGTAACGGCAAGGTTGCAGGATGGGTTATATCAGCGCGGAGAGTTTTAATTCCTTGGAGAGGGCTCATGGGCTGTAAATCGATAGCCACAATTTTAATATCTCCACGGGGTTGTGATTGAGGCGTAATATAATTTTGCTTGTCTATACGCCGAGTACCAAAAATACCGAGCAGTTCCTGACGTGACTTCTGTGCCTCATCCTCCCACGCCGCTCTCCCAAACTTTTCTCCCTGTATGAGGACACGCGAAAGAACCTGGCTCCAGCTCCCTGGTGCTGCACAAAGGTCAACGACGCGGGACACTCCTTTGAAAAGATCGAATTCTGGTGTATTGTGAGAACCCCACGTATTGACTTGATCAGGGAATTTTGTAATTTACCCTCATCCAGTTGCAGGAGCTTGAATGCACTGCGAGCACGCCAGCCCTGCTCCTTAGCAAGTCTGTAATACGCATCTCGTTTATCTTTCGAGGATTTTCCCATTTGGCCGTTATTTATGAGAATAACGCATTACTTTGCAAGTCTCCGTGACTTAGTAATCTTTTGGAAAACCTACTTACGCGAGCATAATGTCACAATGACCCCTGCAAGTGTATCATTTAAGCCGTAACGAGAGCCTAAGACAGGCGCATGCCAATTCTGAAGCCGATTGTCTGACAAAATTTATATGAATTGACTATCGTCAGGTATCAGGCTATGGCTACATCAAATATACTGGCCCTCTCAACTCACAAGAAAATTAAAGTTCTGCCTCAGGTAGTGTTTTCTCTCCTATAATTTCTTTATGACTTCCAATTGAGAGTAAAGACTCTGTGGAATCCTCATATGGTCACACCCTATGTATTCAAGTTAGTTGATTATAACAGTCACTCTCATTTATTAAATTGTTCGTTAGACCGGCTACTGGTTGACAACTTGTTCAGATTGGCGCAGAGAGATATTTTCGGGATTACTAATCGACTGAGGCTAATAATAATACCGGTAACGTTTTTCGGACATTGTTAACGTAACATACGCCATGACTCCAGAGCCGAAGAAACGAGACGGCTCAGTCAACGCATCTACCCGACAGGCCAAAAAACGGAAAAATACCGGAGAATGCTCAACAAGTCTTGTGACCGAAGAGAAGCCTGTTGCACTTGACGCATTGTCATGGAATCAAGTTCCTCTACCCGACAATATCAACGATGCAGAAGGATTCTACGGGCTTGAAGAGATAGATGGAGTTAACGTTATTCGAGATGGAAATATACTAAAGTTTGTGAGGAGCCAATTGTACTCGGTTGAAAGAAAACTGACTACGTACAGACAGCTACTGCTGTATCAACTGAATTGGACGAAGATGAATTTGAAGGCTTTAGCGATAATGCATCGATTAAAGATACTCGAGAGAAAAAATTAGCTGTTCCGTTTTCACAAATGCCTAGTAAAAAGCAGATCAGTAGGAAAGAAAAGGCAGTGAAAAATACTACAAAGGACCCAGCTATTACCAAAGAAACTAAGGAAAATTTGTTTAGCTCCCTTCTAGATATCGCTGATACTGCGGATATTGATCTATCTGGATGGGTAGCACTAGATCTTTCCTCCAGCCTTTTGAGTGCTCTATCTAAATTGGGATTCCCGAAACCGACTGTCATTCAATCTACCGCTATACCAGAAATACTTGCTGGACACGACGTCGTTGGAAAAGCGTCCACTGGATCAGGGAAAACATTAGCCTTTGCTATTCCCATAGTTGAAAGTTGGCTCGAAGCCAACCACAAAGTAAATATGTCTGAGGATACTAAATCTAGATTACCAATCGCTCTGATTCTTTCGCCCACTCGGGAATTAGCTCACCAACTGACAACACACATAAAGTGTTTGTGTCAAGACTTCCCTAACCCTCTAAACATAGCCACTGTTACTGGTGGACTATCGATTCAAAAGCAACACCGGCAAATATCAAATGCTGATATCATAATTGGCACTCCAGGCCGCCTATGGGAAGTGATTAGTTCCGATCAGAAAATACTTGAGGCTTTTCAACACGTCAAATTTCTAGTAATTGACGAGGCTGACCGCCTACTCACAGAAGGTCATTTCAAAGAAGTAGAAGATATTCTCAATGCACTCGACCGCCAGCAAAGCCATGATCAGGCATCGGATGAAGAAGAACGTAGCCTCTCAACAAGGCAGACGCTGGTATTCTCAGCAACCTTCGACAAGGGCTTACAGCAAAAGTTAACTGGAAAAGGCAAACAAGGCATGGTCAACGAGAGTAATTCGATGGAATATCTTTTGCGTAAATTGAATTTCCGAGAGGACAATCCAAAATTTATCGACGCAAACCCGAACTCTCAAATGGCTAGTGGATTAAAAGAAGGAATCATTGAATGCTCCGGAATTGAAAAAGTTCCATCCCCTCTTTCATTATATGTAGCATCTAACAAAATGTATGCAGGATCTCTATCTTTATGCTCTACTACTCTATCACCCTAATCAGCGTACTCTGGTCTTCACCAACTCGATCCATTCTGTCAAAAGGCTCACACCAATGCTGCAGAATCTAGGCTTACCAGCTCAATCTCTTCACTCACAAATGGCACAAAAAGCTCGTTTACGTGCTATAGAGCGTTTTGGCTCTTCAAAAGCAACAGGCCAGATCTTGGTTGCAACAGATGTAGCAGCTCGTGGTCTTGATGTAGGAGGCATGCAGCTTATTATTCATTACCATCTTCCAAGAACGGCTGATATGTATGTGCATCGGTCTGGCCGAACAGCACGGGCAGAAGCATCCGGTACCAGTATTCTTATGTGTGCACCCGAGGAGGTAGTTGGTACACGTCGATTAGTCGCTAAAGTACATGCACAGAATGTTATTAGTAGTGGCAGTAAGCTCAAAAATTATTTGAAGTCATTAGACATTGATCGAAAAGTCGTAGCGCGTTTAAAGCCCCGAATGATGCTAGCAAAGCAAATTGCTGATAGCGTGATAGCGAAGGAGAAGAAAGGACATGATGACGAGTGGCTCAAAAGTGCTGCAGAAGAGCTGGGCGTCGATTACGATAGCGAAGAATTTGAGGCTACGGGTAGAGAAAGCAAAGGTAGAGGCACCGGAAGAAAACTTAAAGAGAAGAAAGCTCGAAACATGTCGAAAGACGAAGTAAATTCATTAAGAAGAGAGTTGAAGCTTCTACTAGAGCAAAGAGTAAATGTAGGGGTGAGTGAGAGATATCTGACGTCAGGAACTGTTAACGTTAATGAGCTCTTACGCGGAGTCAAGGGGGAATTTCTTGGTGCTGTTGATGACATTGGTATAGACTACGAGTAGAAACATGGTTGATCAAAACGCATGCCCAACAAGTAATACCTTTCAAGTGCAACCAAGCTTGATGTATATTTGTTGGATAGGCTGTGCCTCTACATCTGATCAGATAACGATGTACGTTGGGATGTAGATGTTCTTTTTTTATCTACAACCCTGATATATGAAAAAATTACACGAGGCTGACAATTCAGCCTTGTACCCTCAAATTGTGCGAGGACCTCATCACAATGTTCCTTCTACAAGAAATAATAAAACTAATAAGTCGTCTAAGAGTAACCTGTGTAATGACAAACAACACTGTTACTGCATGAATTTGAATGGATAATTGCGATGCGCATTTACTACGACAATGATGAGAGGGATTGCAGATAAAAAGTAGCTTCGATCAGAGATGCGATCAGCACTACTATGAAGAGGACATTCAAATGTGTTGGCTGTTTAGACTCGTTGGCTCACACTTTAACCCAAGATCAGTGCCTCATTTAATATATCTAGGTCCTTAAGATGGGTTGTATATCAAGTACGTGATAAGTATTTGCAACGCCAACCTTCAAGTACATATATATATATATATTTTGTTAGATGATATGATGATATGATATGATTATTATTATCGTGACTGGGTACTGCCCCAGCACCCAGAGGGCATGGCACGGGTAGTCTAGATCTATAGGACTCTTCGCTACCTATATTTTTGTTTCACAGAAACTAGGAACGCAGAACAAAAAAAAACGATTAAATCACCATTTCTAAGGTGCTAATGCCCTGCACTACACCTTAATTCTCGTACCACACCAACCGGTCCCAAGAAGCATTTCTGTTGATCATCTTGACCCCCTGTTTATGATTCATTCTTGCTGTAACATTTTTTTACAGTTAAAAAGCGCCAGAATATCTGCCATCCTTCTTGCCCTATCATATCCCTGATCGTAGGACGTGTTTCCTTCGTTTCCGTTCTCCATTTCTGAATAGTCGGGCGACACTCTGCAAAATGCCATGGCCGCTTTTCTCTGCCATAATTGCAAAGCTTTTCTTTATTCTGGTGGTAAAACCGTCAATGATAGCTGGCGAAGTCACCATGCCCAGTCCTTGCTGCGATGAGGCGATGATATGCCCATCGAGGTAGAGCTAGCTCCGGAGGGCGTTTTCTTCGCATCAGTAGGTCCAGATCTTCACACCTGTCCGTTCTGTTTTTATGCCACCAATCTTCCGCCAGTTTCTGTACGCGGATTGTGACTTGGCGTCTGAGAGCTGCAAATGTCATAACTTCGTGAGTTTCCTCCCAGATGCACTCTGGTCCCGGTATGTTCCCATCCCGATTATTTGACGCAAGGAATGCCTTTGCCATCGCATCGGCCTTTTCGTTTCCTGGAATGCCGCTATGTCCCGGAACCCAGCAGACCTCTATCGCTGGTCGAGTCTTACGTAGTTCCCAGAAATTCATGACCTCTACTTACGAGGAATTTGTTCTGCCAATTTTAGGGGCTCTGACCGCCTCTTCATTGTCAAGGAGTACCTTGATATCTGTGCTACCTCCAATCTATAACGCTGCCTCTAAGCCTCGTACTGCCCCGGTGATTTCCGCATCAAAGACCTCAGCTCCAGGAGGCAATTTTCCACCGCTCGCTAAAAGTTCACCGCCTCTATATATGGCGTAACCATAGGCTGAGTATGCTGGGACGGTCGAAGACCCATCCGAGTAGACACAGAGTGTTCCTGGGGGAAGACCCCTGAGCCAAAACATGATCTGCTTCACCTTTTCCTCCTTGTCGCATTTGGCCCTAGCAGTAGCCATCGTTGTCTTTGGTTAGTAAAGCTGCTCAGGCCCTTCTAATGCTGGCAGGCTGAGGTTCCCATTCTGAAGGCGTGTTAAATATCGCTGTGGAACCTTAAAGACACGTTCTTTCTGCCCCTCTCGTAGTTGGAGTCGCTTGATTGCCTCCTTGGGTGTCTCAGCTGCCCTTGACGATAGTGGATGATAACTTTCGAGTCGGCGAATTCTTGCCGCACTTCGGAGCTGTCGCTGCTGAAGCATTATTTCTGCAGGTAAGATCCTTGATTCCCGGTCCAGGACTATGTTTGGTGTAGTTCGCCAAACTGGTAGTGCAGCTCGGATTGCGGTCAAAATAGTACTATCTAGTAACTTGAGGTGTCATCCGACACCCGTACTTACTTTCTTGTCTTGTATTGTCGTGATACGGGTCAGTCCAGGCCACCAGGCTTTAGCGCCATACACTGCCGTACTAACTACACATGCATTCACCGCACGTATTAATGGTCCCGGAGCCGCACCTCGTTGGACTCTATTTACGCTACGTATGAAGTGGGATAGTCGCTGTGCCTTGCTACACCATTCCTGAACATGCTGTCTGAATGTTAGTTGGGAATCGAGCCAAACTCCAAGCCATCGAATATGCGGAGAAGGCGTAATGAGCTGTTCCCCAACTCTAACTGTTAGGTTGGATGAGTCGAGTTTCTTCTTTGGTCCACCCCCAATGATCAGGAGCTCAGACTTTGAAGGGTCGAATCTAATCATGTTTAACGAAGCTAGTTGGACTATCCTGTCTACTTCGACCTGGACAGCCTCAACAGCTTGGAAAGGAATTTTACCGTTGTTTCACAATCTTAGAGCGACGGCTACTGTAGACTTTCTTTGGGGCGAATTAACAAATATATTATATTAAGTATATATATATCGCAACCACCTCTATCCACTAACTCCTCTCCCAAAGGAACAACTCGCCGGAATAGTTTTCCATCTCAGCTCTGACCACCTTTCATTATATGACTAATCCATGACTAATCCAAAGCTCCTTCCTGATCAGTTTCAGAGTTAAGTTTACTCCAAGCAGATTAGAGAACTGTATGCGAGAGTATTCCTACATTTACCGACTCGAAAAATGGCGATGTCGTCTGCATATCCGAATCTACAGTTTGAAGTGCCATCCTCGAGTAGGATCGAGATGTATAACATGAATAGAAGTGGCGAAAGTGGTGATCATTGAGGGACACCGCACTCAACAAGCTTCTCATCTATTACGCCTTCTTCATGTCTTACCAAGACTGTTCGTCTTTTCAGAAACGATTCTACCCAGCGACAGGGTGATAGCGGCCAGCCCTGACTTCGCATTCGTGCGAGCAGCCGATTGTGTAGCACTGCATCGAAGGCACCTTGAATGTCCAGCGTGACCATAGCTGTGACTTTGTTGGATCTCATTGCAGCTTCTGCATCGTGTGTAACACACGATGCCAGGTTGACTGCTGAGTGACCTGGTAGCGCGCCGAATAGTTGGTAAGTTACTGCCTTGTACTTTAGCGCAAGCCAGGACATCCGCTTAGCTATTAGTCTTTCCAGTCCCTTGCCTAAGCTGGAGAGTAACGATATGGGTCGCCATTCTTTTGGGATGGAGAGATCGCGTCCGATTTTAGGAAGTAGAACAACTTCCGCCACCTTGAAAGGTGTTGGAAAATATTCCAAGTTTAGACATGTCTGAAAGAGGTCCCTGACATATGTTCCAATCGAGCTCCAGCAAGCCTTGAGTAGTCGGACGGTGATTTTGTCATATCTTGGAACCGTTTCTTTACTCCCTATGGTTGACGCTGTAACTTCTTCCAATGAGACTTCTCTGTTCCATGGGATAGACTCTGGTTGACTATTCTCCCATGTTTCTACATCGCTTCTAGCGTCGAATCTTCCCAGAAGGGAATCACGTAGTGCGATTGTCCGCTCGAGTGGATCTAAAAGCCTCTGGTTTGGTGATACCTGGAGAGGAGGAGGCTGTTTCGTCGACTTTGGTTTGGCCCATCGCATGAGTTTGAACACTTGTGCCTCTGCCTCTGCTGCTTCGACTTGCTTTGTCCAATACTCACGTTTGGCTGACTTCACTGCGGCTCGGAAAGCCTTACGTATCGTTCCTACATCTCCAGATATCCTTTTAGCAGCCCTGTAGTCAATCTGTCGTTCTTTGCAGTCCTCAGTTCACCGAGGCGCTGTTTTCCCACTTCCTACAGCTGGTGCTCGTCCGACGACTTTGGCCGCATCTTGAAGTACTCGGATTAAACTCCTTGCGAAGTTCTCAATCTCGATTTGACTACTTAGGGGGCGGGGCCTTACCCTTTGCTTTACACATCGTGCAAACTCATCTAGATCGCAGTCTCTAACACGGGTTAGTCTTGGGATTCCAGATAGCTCCGATTACCCGGGTGTGTCGACTGAGCCCTCAATTGTAGAGTGGTCTGATATACAGTGACAGCGGTTTGAGACAGCTGCAAAAGCCGTCGTGTTACTCCAGGTTAGATCTAGCACATTTCCGTCTCGGTGGGTGCTTTCTCCAATGGTGCTTAGTAGCTGCATATTATTTTTGCGGGCCCATCCCGTGATTAGATCGCAATTACAGTATTTGCGTTCTATTAACGGCTGCTAATGCTGTGAGACTGAATTAAAATCGCCTCCCATTACTGAAGGGCCATTGGGACGCCAGTTCAGTAAAGGATCCAAAGTCCCGCTAGGGCCTGGGGCGCGATAAACGTTTACAAAGGTCAGTCCTGACACCTGCACGAAGCAATAGTCTGACGTCTGACTTGATGACGAAGGTGTAATCTATGTCGCTTGCAGTCCTTTCCTGACAAAAGTGACGGCGCGTGGTCGTGATCTCGGTACCGTATTTCCGAAGGGTATGAAACTATTGAAGCCAGGGTGGCTTTTCGAAGTGAAATCTCCGTCTTCTCGCAAGGTCCATGGTTCTTATACCATGACTATGTGTACTTCTGCATCCCAAACATGTTGCAGCGCTATGTCCATGTTCGGTCCGCCCTTTCCCACGTTCACTTGGTGAAAGAGAAGCGTGCTATGTCTCTGTTTGTGCTTATATGAGTTTGGTGTATTACTAATTATCATGCATTATTTCTTCTGGTATATTAACGACCTCGCAGGCCTCACCTTTTTCTTGTAATCTTGACAGTGCTGCCTTGAAATCCATATGCCCTCTCTCAAAAATAACTTG